AACCTTTATTACATTTTTCTTTACTTTTTTTACTTAACTTTATTGCTATCACAAGGGTGCTGCTAAGCTCAGCCCCCCCCCCATGGCAGGCTGGCAGGGGACAGGTTCTCTTTTGGGAGAGAGCACGGGTCCGCCCAGGACGGGTACTCCCGGGACACATGGAGGGCGGGGCGTGATCCCTTATTTATGATACAGGCCAGCTGTGATAATGTGCCCATGCCAAGCCCGCTATGGTTCAGCGTAGTGCAGGGGACAGGTTCTCTTTAGAGGGAGGGCACCCAGGAGGGACGGGTACGCCCGGGACACACGGCGGGCAGGGGACAAGTGAGGTGGGGGGGCCGGGAAATGATCTGGAATTTATGATACAGGAAAGTCGACAGTCGGCTGTGATCATGTGCCCATGCCAAGCTCTGCCACCGACATATGCCACACAGCAGTGGCAGCGAAGGGGTTAAAGGACGCAGGCAGCTTCAATCAGACGTTGTGGTGAAAGGGTTAAAGGAAAAGAGATAAGTGTTAGGCGAAGGATCATTTAAGGCAGCTCAGGGGGTGGAAGGGTTAATGTGAAGGCAGCAGGCAGAGGGTTAATGGATGACAGGAAGTAGAAGGATTCATTCCGGAAGCAGAGAAGGTTGTGACTGCAGACATGAGGACACAAGCAGGAAATGTCTACCACCGTCCCGGAGAGCAGGAAGTGCAGCTGCCTCGTTAGCGCAGTAGGTAGCGCGTCAGTCTCATAATCTGAAGGTCGTGAGTTCGATCCTCACACGGGGCACTTCGTTTTTTACATCCGTAATATCATTTTATTGTGATTTACGTTTAATAATTCCCCTCCCCCGTATTCTTTACTGATCAATATCGTTTAAAAGCAATCTGGATTCTGCTACAGCGATATTATTTTTTTCTGCCTTTGTCCTACAACCATAATTTGCCTTTTAAATAAATCATATGAGAGTTAATATCTGGACATAGAGATGAAAATAAATCATATGTAATGTTTCCTAGAGCATGAGAATGAATTTATTTTAAAAAGTAAGATGAGCAAATACGATGAGAAAAAAAAATTGTCATTCCCATACCGGGAGTCGAACCCGGGCCGCCTGGGTGAAAACCAGGAATCCTAACCGCTAGACCATATGGGACAACTTGTATGACGTGGAGGTTCTGATTAGGATAACCTTCTGCTGGGCAAAGTCTGTATAAGGATAGGGATATCTTTACTGACACTTCTTGGCATTCTCTTGTTGACTTTAGTTACTTCTATTCATGAGTCAGAGGTGTCCCTAGACTTTTTGGAGCTCTAGCAACGGGGGGAAGGTGGGGAGGGCCGGATGCGGTGATGCATGCTATGGTATGGCTATGGTGGGGGATAGTGGCGTAACAA